ACAAAATAACCACAGAACTAGATAAAAATATGCATATCCATAAGTTAGTTTTGAATTAAATTGTGTACATAGGTAGAAAACAGAGTCCTTTATCAGCCTTCCAAATTTCGACCCAATCCGAGGTCAAAAATCCACCTAAACTGGCCTATAGAAGAGGCGAATCAGTTATTTAACCCGCCCAATATCTCCATATGCAAAGGGAGATTTCCTCTCAAATTTCATACATAAAAGGCTTATAGGATCTAGTATGGGCCCATAAAGCTTCAGCCAAAACAAAGTCAAAAACCCCTTAAACCGGCCCCATAAAGATGACCCTGTCAAAATCTGTCTATTTGAACCAGATCAAATTTAATCAGTCCGAGTTGTATCGAGTCACAATGATCTGATCTGCGCGAATTCGAGCCAAATCAAGCTGAATTGGGTCAAGCCGAGTCAAGTTGGATCGGAACGGATCAAGCCGGTCCAAAGTGAGTCAGGGAAACCCGAATTTTTTAGTCAAATGGGTCGGGTCGGTATTTAGACGGATCTGACCCTCAATGGGTCATCTTCTTCGCCCATTTTGGGTGCTACAGTATTCACTCGATGGAGTGAACACAGTAGCATTGAATGGGCATTCAAGGGCGGTCGATCAACAGCAATCGGTCCCCATGTCGCCACCAACCACCAAAGAGCCTTTTTCCGGCAATAAACTAGCCAAAAATGACCAGAATCCAGAATTTAACAAATCTGTAATTTTCTTGAAACAAAGAAGACAAAAGCAAAAATCTCAGCCATTTCAAAGCTTAGAATGGCTCTAATACCAATTGTTAGATTCTAAATAAGCTTCTAGAAATATTAAAAGCATAAATAGATTGCTCTAGGCTCAAGAAGCGAACTGAAATAAAGATGAATCGACCTTGATCTATTGAGGTATAGGCAGCTTCCATAGCTATATTGTGACGTCTAAGGGCTCCGAAATCACCTCCTAATTTTGTCTCCTTCTCTTCTCTTCTCTACCTGAAATTGGAAACGGAGAGCTCGTCTCTCTTAGTTGAACTACAAAACCGAAAGCTGAGGAAGTTCTTTCTCAATCACAGCTGCTATCACTCGATGGATCAATGGTATGTGCGAATGGTTCTATTTGTAGAGCCTAAACTGCCCAGAGAGGGTTCCATCAACCTCTGTTTTGCAAAGTATTAACAACAAAACCATGCACTCCTTCTCTCAATGATAGACTTAGGTCGGTTTCTAGAGCCAATTTGCCATCTCAACACTACTAGGTCCCCCAATGCTTGATTCATCTCAATCCCCCAATGAACTCATAACCGAATGTATTCTAACAACATTCGGTAGAAGGGAAGATTAAAGAATCCAAAACAAGGATCCAACTTTAGATAGGCACGCACAAAATAAGGTAGAACAACATAGTCCTGTAGTCATATTTCCACAATGTTTTGATTAGATAGGGAAAGAATGAACCTGGTTTTGGTAGTTTGGAGAAGGAAAGGAAATAATCCAATTTGAAAAGTTTCTTTTAAAAGTAATTTCCTGTTATAACATGATTTGATTTATTTGATTTATTGAGAGGGAGGATGATGTGGCATAATGGGAGAGGCTGAAAGACTGGTGACATGGCTTAATGGGAGTAGTGGGAAGGGGAAATGGGAAGAGAGTTAAGGAGAGGGCAGCATAGGGGGGTTTGGACCACCTTGCTTTATATTTGTAGCATAAGCAGGGGTGTCAATTGGATTAGATTTGGTCTAAACCGATCCAGTCCAGTGTGAGTCCATTATAAATGGACCAGGTCCAATCCAATCCAATGTAATGAATGTTTTGGACCAATTTGGACCGGTCCAATTCAATGCCTTGACTGTTCAATCTGTTAAAATTCGTTTTGATTTAGATTGGTTTCAACCTAAACCCAGTCCATTGACACATATATTCTTATCTTATATCAATGGACCAGATATTGGCTTAATCCAACCCAATCCAATATAAATTTATTACGGACAGACTAGGCTCAATCCAATCTAATAAATATTTTGGACCGGATTGATCCAATCCAAAATGTCTTGTTAGTCCATCCAATCCGTCTAAATTGATTTTGAACTGAACGGAGTTCAATCCAAAACCAGTCCATTGACACCCTTAAGCATAAGGTAGAGTTTGTTAAATTTATAATAAGTTTTAAGAAATATCAAGAGATTGAATTCGTTATGATATGATAAGATAGAGTTTGTTGAGATGGGCTAGGAGACATTAAAATAGATTATGAGGTCTCTTCATATGGAATTATCTTTTATAAATAGTAATGTATTTTTTAAGATTTAACCAGTGCAATGTTATAGTGTTCTCAAATAGTTGAGTTTCACTTATCTCCTCAAAGAAAGGATGCTTTCATCATAAAAAATGTTTATTATTGGCCCACATCATTTATCTTGCCACATCAAATTAATGAATCATTATAGGACTTGTAAATGATGTTAGGTTAATTACAGGGACCTTGTTATTCTTCTCCTCCATTCTCTTCTCCCATTCATTGGCATGATTAGCAGCCGGTAACCGAGTTCTCTCACCAAAATACTTCAATCGGAAACACAAAGCATGGTAATAAATAAATCATCGATCGGTTCTTCTTCCTTGTCTTCCTACCCTCATCTCCCCTTCATTGGCATGACTATACAAGGTATGGTGTTTGAAACATACTGCAACTTTATTCAGGAAATCATATAGAACTAATTTGCTCCATATGCAAGCTCTTCGATAGAGACGGTCTGAACAATATTGGCACCAACTCACCTCTATTGCCTTAAACCATGTTTTTTTAAAATCGACCCGGAGATCAAACCAGTCAGGGGTCCGGTTACCGGGTCAAACGGTCGGCCCATTCTGACAAAAATTTAAAAAAAAATAAAAAATGGTCAAAAACCATTCAAATGGTTCAAACAGTTTGAATGGTTAATCGCCCGGGTCAACAGTTTGCTGACCAAAATCAACGGTTTTTGAAGAAATTCTGGTTTTGGAAAAAATGAGAACCGGCACCTCTGGTCCGACCGTCCGGTCCGATCCAGTTTTGAAAACCATGCCTTAGACTCCATTTTGCAATTGAATCCCTACTATAACACTCCCACATAGTGATTTAAGTTTTCTGGTGGGAGGAGTCGATGATAGTCGCACTAAAGAAGGAGAGAAGAAAGAGGATAGGATTTTTAGGGTTTTGGGGACAAACTAACCTAACTCCATTGTAAAGTCCTGCCTTCATTCATTAATCTGGTGTGGCAGAATGAAGGACATAGACCACTGATTTTAGTATTTAGGACGAAAGTGTCCTTTGCTCAAGGAGCCAAATATTTCTCCGTATATTTTACATGGTATCAAAGCCCAAGGTTCAAGTCAAAGGTCTCTCAAATGCTCTTCTCCACTTCCGGCGGGTGGTCGACCTCTTTGCGACTAGTTAGGTTTAGTCCCCCTTCTCAATTCTCTTAGTTTAATAGTCTAGTTTTATATCTTGTTTCCTTTTGTATCTATGTATATCTGTAGTTTAATTCATAGAGACACCCCACCAATCTTTCTTGATAGAGAAATCTGCCTAATTCATACATATACATCATCTAATATTTCCCACTTTGCTCTTATCCTATCCTTGAGCATAGTTCAGTTCCACTTATGGCAGTTTGGCATTTGGTTTGGTCGCATTGTGCTTCTTCTAAAATGCAACAGTTTGATGGCATTTGTTTGAATTGCAACTTAATTTTAGAATGCAGCAGTGTTAAACATTATGATCTTCTCATCCATTCATTCCACCATCATCTACAATTGTACATCATTGATCATTCATTCATTCAATGTAGGACTTAGTATTGTTGGCGAGCTACTTGGGGACTCACCCATCGATGCAGCTTTACTGCATTGGGTGTTTGTGTTTCTACTCGACTACTCATGGCATTCAATGTGCTTTTTATGCCCATGCTGCGCCACTGCGACACTCCAAAATAAATTAGAGTTATAATAATTAGGAGAATTCAATAAAGGTACAGACTTAAATTTGAATAGTTGCCATAGACAAAATAGATAATTAGGCGCTTGAATGTAAAAGTTGATGAAAGAGATTAGGAGTGCGAGAAAATTTTAAATTTAAAAAAAAAAACTAATAAAAATTTGGAATTTATCTTGGCCAATATGCTCATACCAATACAAATCAAATACAAACTGATATCGTGGGCATGGTTTTTAAAAACGAACCGGTCAGGGAATCGGTTAGTGGTTCAAAGTCCGACCGTTTGACTCAAACGGCCAGCCCATTCTAACAAAAAATAAAAATAAAATAAAAAAAAATAAAAAACGATCAAAACTATTCAAACGGTTAACCAGCCGGTTTAACGGTTTGCTGACCAAAATCAACAGTTTCGAGAAAAAAACAGTTTTGAGGGGAAACAGAGCCGATCAAGTGACCAGTTCCCAGTTTTCCGGTCCAACCGTCCTGTCTGATCTAGTTTTGAAAACCATGATCGTGGGAGTAGTGGTGAGTATACGGGTGGAATAAATTTGAGCTTTTGGGCATTCCACCTATGCCATTTATTTATAAACTTGAACCACATCTATGATCTATCACCCAATAGGCCAATACATATCAATAATTCAAGCTTTGGCATTTCTAAGTTTGACTATGATGCTGGAAAGACGTATGGAAAAACTGTAACCAATCGGGTGGGCTTTCATCAAAATTCTCGGAGAACCCTGCTTGGTCAAAGTCTTTCTGGTATCAGGTCTTTGGCATCATAGATTCTTCCCCAATACTTCGAACCTCAATTGCATAAATATAATCCAGCATTGAATTTTTTTTAAATGATATTTACATACACAATCTTCTCCTTTGGCTAATACGATTTAATCTATTTTGGAACCCAGAGAGTGGCAAATCTCTGAGAGACTACTGGTATTCTCGGAACTGCTTTGCCCCTTTCTTTTGGATCGGTTCAGTTAGCCATACTGCAGTGTGCACTATGAGTTGCACGATCAAATCCAAACAAAGAGAACCAATGTAGACCTTACTACAAAAAGTGAAAAGGATAAAGACAATAAATAAGCTATCCATAGCTGTAAACAGAAAGTTGAAATATAAAAACAAGAGAGCAAAATATTCAACTTCGAGTTTAATGCAGACTTCATTAGCCCTCAAATTCCACTTTTTCTGAAAATTGGAAGCTTTTGAATTCGGTTCATGGCATCAGAATTCAAATTGTGAGCAAGTAAAGCTCATTTGAATGTCAAGCTGTTCGGTCCATGTATAGCAGTCTACTTGAATGAAATCTTCCATACCTCCCGTAAATTAGACAAACCATCCGCAACTTCTGCAATCAAGCTAGCTTCCATAAGTCCTGCAAGATGATAAAAGGGTTATTCTGTTTAGCAACCCCAAAATGTGAGGAACTGTAAAGGACAATGATCACGCTACCCTCTTGTTCTATATTTGTGTACACAGACAACACAGCATGAGCATGGTTTGCAGATGGCAATACCATTATTGCCAATATACAGGTTAATATACAAAACTATTATGCATTATTAGCATTATGAAGAAGGCTCTGCAGAACTGAGATTAATAAGTGGATGATGGATACACTGATTTGTCAATGAAATTTATTGTGTGCGTGTGTGTGTGTGTGTATAGTAGTCTATCATAGTAATAGTTAAATAGAGAATTAAGTCAAATCAAAGAAATCAAAAGAAGAAATCATTTAACTCTAGTAAGCTGGGGCTAATTATAAAGTTGCAGTTAGGAAATGTTTATCAACTGAATTTGCAAGCAACTTGTTTATAAATCATTAACGTACATCTCAACGAGAATGTTGATAATGATGATGTATAGTACAACTTAGTCCTATATATTCATAAACACACCACAAGAAAAGGGATATAAAAGTACAACTTAGTCCTATATACTCATAAACATTTGAAACACTATAAGAAAAAGATGATGATGTTGACAATGATAATGAAACACTATGACCAATATATCACTATTCAACATTTTGGTGATGTTAAGACTGTTGTATGTTAATGCACATTAATACATACATTTAAAAATAGTGTGTTACATCTTTTAGGATTTAATAGAATATAGATTCCTTTATCCAATACAACAATGGTATCTCGTAAGGTGATAGCTCACCATCTTTTTCTACAACAGACAAGAATTGTCTTGTTCCTCCTCCTACACCAAAATAATGCTTTTTTCCTGCCATGTAAACAACTCCATGGGGCCAGCTCAGGCACTGCAAATAAACATTTTAATGTTCAAAGTGCAATTAATTTTAATGATTAGTAAATCAGCAAAAGCAACTGAAAATGCGTTAAAACATGCCTTTTTTATTAGTCCATAGAGGTTTTGCAGAGAAGAAATTGAGTAAACTGTCTCTGCCATTAAAATAACATCATAACCTGCAGGTGGATCTTGCCCTGATGAAGAATCTGATCCTTTCTGGTAATCTTTGTCACATACATGGAAAAGAAGTTTATGTATTTCACTCCAATCACCAGCAAAGAAGCGGACTTCTGCCTGTGTCTTTTCTGTCTCGTTTGTAGCCAAATAGAGCTGTTGAGGCCCCCTTAAGGTATTTGCATTTACATTTGGTATAGTTAAACATCGTAGAACCTCAGCATTGAAGTCTTGGAAATGAACCACAGACGCACCCTGATGGAACAAAGCCTAAAAATAGTCAAAAGCACAGAAAACTAAAATTTGAAGCCTGGATGTCATAAAACCAAATAAATACAACCAGATTAAGATAAATTGTATACTCTACTGTACAGATATTAGCATATCTCACCTCAAGGCATGAAAAAATCCCAGGAAGTCCATGACCACATCCAAGCTGAAATCCATGAGAAAAGAATATCAATACTCAATTAAAGGAAAGGGTAGTAGATGGATGATCTGATTTCATCTTCTACTCGCAAACATTTGAAAGGTGGGATCATAAACAATCATGATAGTTTCCTTCACAGGCATTGAAATCAAAGTGCATAAAGACTTGTGCATACTGAAAAAATATTGTCTACAAGGCAGTGCTTTTTCATATAGAAATTAAGAACCATAGGGTTTCATATTTTTGTTTGGTATAACTATATAGTTTCAAAGGTAGTCCAATCCAAGCAACTGTTAGTTTAAAGAAAAAAGCAGATGTCTTTTGAGCAAGATGGGTCTGTTGAGAATGTACAAGGCAAGGGGCTTTCGGCCTTTTTCTTGCCTAATTGAATTTGGGCACCCAAGTAATGGCTTTCTTGTAATATTCTTCTCATAATATATATCAAATTTGAGGGCTTCTTGTAATATTCTTCTCATAATATATATCAAATTTGAGGGTATGAATAGTAACACACTCCTCTCATTTGTAATTGGCTCTTCCTCAAGTAAACCCTAAATCTTACAACTTGGTATCAAAGCGCCTTAGAGGCTCCTGGGAAGACTTTTGCTCCTAACCTACACTCGAAGGATGATCTGCTAACACCAGACCTGTTCACCCTATGTGCTTTGATGATAACAAACACATTGAGAGTAATAATGGTGTATCAAAGTGTGCAGCATCTTTATTATGCTTCTTTGTGCTTAATGGATATAAAAAGCTAGAACACTACAATTAATCAAGTGGAAGCTCTGCCAAGTGGCTACATGTGCTTCATTGTTAATTTACACCATCATCATTCTCTCTCCAGCTAAGGAAGAAATATGGGGAATTCAGCCCATGAGTTCAAGGGCAAAACAAAGGGATTTGTTTCCAAAACAAGCTAGGAGATGCTTGGTAGAGCTGAGATATGAGAACTCAGCATATTTCAAAAATCAGATGGAAAATATATGATCTAGGAAAAGAAATGAGAACTCACCATCCTCTCATCGTGATGGTGTACCTGTGTTTTGATGAGAAGGAAAGAGAAAATTATGCCATAATTTGATAAAGGCATCGGTCGAAATGGGGAGCTTCAGAATTTATACCCCTAGAGAATCTTAATGCTTAAGATGACAAATTTTGAAGCCACAGACTGAAAAACAAAAAAAAAAAAACATCTAAAAAAGGGAGAGTTTGAAAAATAAACCCCCAGAGCATAATATAGCTCAGAGCATATGAATGCTCAAGAAAGTCAAGGCACTCCCTCCTTGACAGAAAAGGTAAAATGCACCTTGAATGAATGCATGAATGGTACAATTTATATTTGATATATGATATGTGATTTGCTTCTCATTTGAACTTAAATTGTTTATATTATTATTGTGATGAGAATGTTCTCAGTTGTTATGATTTGTGTTATGATGTTCACCAACTGATGATTAGATACAACTATGCTTCTCTCCCATGCTATAACTTGTCTATCTATATGATTTATTTTTGAGAGAATAACATTTGCTATCAGTTAGTGCTGAGGTACTAATCCGAGCCATTAATGTTTCCAACTGTAAGCCTCATTCAGAAAAGTTTCCCTCTCATCATATGCTTGATAATTGATGCATGATGAGAACTTATGTTAAACCCCTGCCCCCTTCCTTTTTATTGATGACAAAATCGGGAGAAAATTTTGATTGGTGAAAAATGATTGTTGCAGAATTGTTGCAAAAAATGAGGGAAAAGATGCCAATGAAAGCAATGCATCTTCCCAAATAAAAAGGGAGATTTAAATTTCAACTCCCAAGTGAAAGTGGAGGAATTTCAGCATACCTCCCATATGTATGAAATGAAGGAATATGTCAGTAACAGAAATACATCTTCACAAAGTAAAAGGGAGAATTTCATCTCATCTACCAAATGATGAAAATGGAGGGATTTCAGTTCTACCTCTTATATATATGTATGCAACAATCCAGGGGGAGATGTACAGAAAAATACCCCATATGAATCAAAGGGGTCCACATAATGATACAGGGGAAGTGATGATCAAAATAATGATGGATCCAAGTGGGAACTGAATGAATAGTATTCCCCATGAGATGACATTGTTAAGGGGTAAATATTCAGAGAATCCCCTCTATGATTCAGGAGAAGCTAAATGGTATATATGCTGAAATTGAACCATTTAGCAAATTCTTTTCTTTGTTTTGTTGTTGGTGGAATGTGCCAACAGACATTAAGATGCTGTTTGATTCTTCAACTTTTGCTTGGCCGAAAAGGAGGGAAAGATTAATGTGGAGATGTACTACTACTAGAGCAGCGGTAATCTAAACCTTGTGGGAAGAAAGAAAATGCTAGGATCTTCCAAGAGGAGAGAAGCAAACAGCAAGTTATAGACTGTGTAATGAATAGAGTAATACATTGGCTACTAACTTTGGATCTGTTTAAACAGTACTTCTTTGATGACATTTGGAGGAACTGGTACTCGGTGGCTTCATGCTCAGAGCAGAAGGCCAGAACAAGGTTGGCTTGGGTACCTCCATTTGATGATTTCTTGAAACTAAACATTGATGGAAGCAGTCAAGGCAACCCAAGTGCTTCTGGAATTGGAGAGGCCATAAGAGATAAGGAAGGAAATCTAAAAACACTCTATTCAGCACCAATGGGGATTGGAGACTCATTGAAAGCTGAGTTATATGCAGTATTACAAGGTGTCCAGATAGCAAAAGAGATGGATGTTGAAAACTTGGTGATAAAAGGGGACTCTAAGGTGGTGGTGGTGGGCTGGATAAAGAATCTGGATTCGGTGATATGGTACTATAGAGATGAAATGAAAAAGTTCAAATGGCTAACACAACATATGAATCTAATTATACAATGGGTGGGGAGGGAAGCTAATTGTTTGGCTGCTTCTTTAGCCAAGCAAGGGGTAATGAGGGATCAGTTGTTTTGGGCACAGTTATAAATCTCTTGCTGCTTTTTCTTTAAGTGTGAGGCTGCACCTCGTGCTCTCCTTGGGATGCTTGTAACTGTTACTTATTATTTTTGAAATCAATAAAATTTTAACTTTATTCATCAAAAAAAAATCAACGAGCTCAACTGTTTATGTAGCATGATCCAGGAGAATAGTACTCTTATACTAAGCTTAATTTTTTATTATTATTTTTCATCAATGGTTTGTCATCAAAAAGGGGGAGATTGTTGACCCTATGTGTTTTGACGATAACAAACACATTGAGAGTACTAATGCCATATCTAAGTGTGCAACATCTTTAGTAAGCTTCTATGTGCTTAACGGACATAAAAAGCTAGAATGCTACAATTGATCAAGTGGACTGGAACCTTTGTTGAGTGATTGTCTAAGCTTCATTGTGAATCTACACCAATTGACCAACATCATCCTCTCTCTAGCTAAGGAGGCTCCAAGAAATTCAAGCACCAAGGAAGGTTGCTCAAGAACTTAAAGGGGCTTTGGAGCTGGTAAAGTTTGATCTGCTACTACAACTCAACAAGGTGTCAAAAATCAACATCAAGCTGTATTTATTTGTTTTTATCTCTTTTAGAACCTTGATGTAAATCAATTGTATGATGTTGCAATCCATTTGTCCCACGTTGGTAGTATGGGATCCTAATGTGAGATATCCCACATCGGTAGTATGGGATACTATTGTGTGGTATATATGAGATTGGGTTCCCTCTCTCTAACAGCTAGCTTTTGGGGGTGAGTTCTCCTAAGGCACGTATCAAATGGTATCAGAGCCTACACCATGCCTCCCAATTGCAATCATGCAGCACAGGTGGTGACGTCGGTATTGCAGTGTTCCCAGGACTAGGTGGACTAGTGCAAAGCCAGCCTGCGTGGGTGTCGGGACTGCAGGGGGTGGTGGAATGTTGCGATCCATTTGTCCCACGTTGGTAGTATAGGATGCTAATGTGAGATATCCCACATTGGTAGTATGGGATACTTCATACTGTTGTGTGGTATATATGTGCTTGGGTTCCCTCCCTCTAACAGCTAGCTTTTAGGGGTGAGTTATCCTAAGGCACATATCAGATGCACTTCATAAATGCTCAACAAGATTGAAGTCAATCACCCTTAGAAACCATAATCCTATTGGATTTGGTTCCTTGGCTTTCCTAAGCTTAAATTTGTTATAGAAGTTAAGAAAATATCTTTGAAAGCCAATGGAAGTGTTTCCAAACCTCTGGGCAAAATGTGCCAAGGTTTCTAAGTATTTGGTCTGCCTATCAAGCAAATTGGTCCTAATTGTGAGAAATAATTGACTACCCAAACAAATGTGTCAACTAACTATGACAGTCGAGGCATGCATGCCTAAAACTGTGAAAAGTAGTCAACTACTCCAGATACATGTGTCGACTAACTATGACAGTCAAGGCATGTAAAATGCCCACTCTCAGAAAATGTGTCAACTATTCAGACTGACCAAGTTCACAGGCTTACTAGTCGATTGATAAGGAGAAAAACGTTTTTTATTCCAAAACAAAAAATGAAGAAGGGGTGGAGCCCCAGTTTTTGTTCCATACCTTCTTCTATGATCAATTTCCCTTTCTTGTTCAAAGATGTACAACTTGGAACCCTCAAACTTGACTTCAAATATCATACCTCTCGAACTCAACATCAAATATGATTTATCAGAAACCTTGACAAGATAAGAAATTAATGTAAAAACATATTATCTTATGAAATAAATAAAAATAATGATTCGGTGCATCATGTCTATGTTTATATTACAGACTTGGAATATAAAAAATATTAAATATACAAAAATTACAATAGGTAATATATATATATATATACATATATCATATGGCATCTAGGCGAGGTGAAACCCAAAAGGCGCCTATATACGTGTAGAGGTGTAAATCAGACTGGACCGCCCGTAACCCGGCACGATTTTGGACCGTCCCAACCCGGCTTGGCACAAAGACCCAGGGCCGTGCCAAGTGCTAGGTCGGGGGTTCGAGGCCCATGGGCCGGCACAGCACGGCCCACCAGGCCCGTAACGGGCCGCACTCAACCCACTCGGGAATATAACCGTTGGGCCCCCCCTCCCAAAGGGGCCCAACAGTTAGTTTCAACTTTTGGGGGGTTTATAGAAATACTCCCCAACAGCTATACAACAACTAGTTTAGGGGAGCATTGGGTAAAGTAACAAGTAACTTCACAATGACCAAAATACCCCTCCAAACAACTAAATAACAGATAGTTTTTTGGGTATTTTAGGCAATTGAATTATGTTCAATTCCTATAAATAGCCCTATCCTCCACCATTCTCATCACACCAATTCAACAATTCTCTTAATCTCTTCTCTCTCTCTCTCATACTCATACATTCTCAATTATCTGCAATCTGAGAAATTTTGATTAGTTGATTGTTTGATTTTGCATTCTTCAATTC